GTGGCGTGGACGATGCTGTAAAACTCCTCCACAGAGGAGACCTGGACCGACACGGCGTCGACTGGGAAGCCTGAGGACTGGCCGCGGAAGTTACGCACACTGGGCAGCATGCGGAAGTTGTACAACGTGGCCATCGTGGCAGGAATTGTGCCGCCACCCTCGTGCGGGCTATTCATGGATGCAAGGAGACAGTGGTGGATGCTGTGTTGTTTTATAAACGCGTAAAGAACGCCTTGATTCGAGTCACTTGGAATTTGTATAAGCCAAATGTTGCGTCAGTTGTTCTGCGTCAGAAATACTTTGGTTGAAGTCCAATTTTCTTCTGACGCAACAATATATCGTCGGCAAATTCAGTGATTTTACATGAGTTGATAGGAACGGCGCTGGGATTGGTCAAAATCACAGATTTTCGAATGCGATAATTGGCTCCAACAACCGAATTCCACGCACGTGGTGTCGAGTGACCTCTTCTCGTACTACAAAATATCACGCGCTGAGGTAAACAATTCGGAAGCAAGGAACGAATAACTTTACACGGCATTTTTTCCCACGTGGCAATGGTTCGCTTGGTCACGGTGAGCCTCATCTCCGATGCCTAAACAACTGGTTTTCACTCAGGCACTCATCGCGCACTTGGACTCAGTATAATTATATTAACATTTTCTTTTTATCTTAACGTTAATGCAACAACAATTGAGAAGATTTAAAGAGGTTGTATTCCTCTCCAAATTTACTCAATTGTTGAGATCGAGCGAGTCATAGTGTCAAGACAAAACAACAATCTCGAGTTGCCGCTGATGGCCACTTGGTTGACACACATCGCGTGGTCTGTTTTGGGAACAATTGAAATAACCGAGTCGCTAAATACCGAATGGGAAAACTGGACTTACAGCACGTGACAGTGGGCACTACCCTAGCTTGAAGGCGATCGTACGTTTGAGTGAACATTTGTGCTCAAACATCTGCCGACTACCCATCAGTAGAGATTAGTACAGTGAGGTCTCCCATTAGTGCACGCTCCCAAAACAAATACCTCAGGATATACTATACATTATCAGCTCATAGAGTTTTGCCTCTTGGCGTAGTACCTTCAGCAAATTTTCAAACTTTGAACCGCGAAATTCAAACACACTCCTCATTGCCGCACATTCCACGTGGTGAGCCAACATGGTGGTCACGCCTGGCCGAGTGCGCATGACCTTAACGCAGAAGTTTGCAGTGTGCGAACATTATGCTCAAAACAAGCACCTGTCCTTGAGTGCATTGGCGATGTGGGCCCACGAAACGCTCAAACTTCCCAAGGCACCCGCGAAGTCGACCATGCGGTTGATCCTGGGAAGCCCACCCACAGCATGTCTTGTCCATGAGCGCCCGCGAAGCAAAACAATTCAGCCAGTCACGTCCCCCGAACTTGAGCAAAAACTGCTCCAATGGATTCGCTTTTGCGAGAGTTCAAGCTTGACCATAGTAACTCAGCACACAATCCGATACAAAGCAGAACGAATTCGCAACGTTATGCTGCCACAAGTCGACTCGCAAGCTACGGCCGCCAAACGCCTCAGGTTACCAAATTCTTACGTCGGCGCGCGTTGAAATTCCGTCGAGTTCATGGTGAAGCGGCTTCGGCTCGCCCAAGCGACGTTGGGGCTGGTCGTGCTGCTCTTCAAGATGCCATCAAGGACTTTGCCAAGCGCGACATTTACAATTTGGACGAAACCGCCTACTTTTACTGCTCAGTCAGCCGAAAATCCGTTTCCTCGAAGCAAGTCGCCGGACGCAATGACAACAAGAAGAGACTCACCGTTGCTCTTGCCGTCAATGCGGATGGTTCGCACAAAAGCCCCTGTTGTTCATTGGGAGTGCGCGGGTGCCTAGATACTTCAACAGCATATCGGTGGAGGAGTTCGCTGAGCTCAACTATACGAATTCGCGCAAGGGGTGGATGACCTCACCAATATTTCGATGCTGGCTGGACAAGTTCAACGAGGAGATGCGTGAAGCGGATCGCTGGGTATTGCTACTACTGGACAATGCCTCGCCGCGCCACGGTCAGCAAAACGATCATCCATTGTCGAACGTCACCGTCAAGTTCTTACCGCCAAACACGACCGCCCATCTGCAGCCTCTGGACGCTGGGGTAATTCGCTCGTTCAAGGCTCATCTTCAACGCTTTCGGACAGACTTCATCGTCAGCAAGGCCGATGCGCTTCAAGACGCTGCTGAGTTCGTGCGCCTAAGCAAGGAACAAGTCGATGAGCTTCTGTACGTCGGCGTTGCTCGTGCCATTCAATGGGCAAATGACGCTTGGTGCGCTGTTACCTCCTCGACGATATCAAACTGTTGGCGTCATACCAGCATCCTTGACGATGGCTTTGTCGAGCTGGTGGCAAGCATGGAGGCCACTCGTATTTGCCCTCCAACAATTCGCTCGCTTGTTCTATAGAATTTTACAGGTCCTGTTCATCCCATTAAACCTTTGAATATAAGTATTCCCTTGAAAAAATCTCGCGTGCACCAAAGGGAGACCTCACTGTACTACAAATTCTAAGTAATGAAGCTGGAATGGACTACTTCTACAACAGAGTTTTGTAAAAGAGGGAAATTTTGTCATTAGCCAAAATTGTCTTAGTGTCACGGTGAAGCCACAAGAGCATTACATATTCCGTGTTGAATGAATAGTACTACCTCTGTTTTGGAACTATTGCGAGCGGGACCAGATGGACAACTTCCAGAACTCTGATTGAAAAAAATTAGTGGATCGTGTTCCTTTGAATGAGCTGAATCAACTGGTATTTTTTGGTGAATTATATTTTCAATTTTCTCCTGAAACCGTCGATGCCAAAGTCCAATACTAAAACCAAGTCAAATTTGACGGATGAGCAAAGGGTGTCGCTATACCAAGACCTCCTCAAAGTCAGTGTGAACGGCAAGCTTTCTCGCGACAAAGTTCGAACTGTGTGCGACACGTACGGCGTCCACCATTCGACGGGTTGGCGTATTTACAAGCGTGGTAAAGACACCAAGTCGTCGAATGGTGTGGCGATGGTCACGTCGCGTTTGAAAGGCGACACTGGCAGACGCCCCAAGTATGTGCCTGAAGACATCGAGCAGCGAATCAAGAGCGTGCCTCTGCACAAGCGACAAACGTACCGATCTCTGGCTGCGGCGACTGGCCTCTCTTTGTACGTCTTGTGGACCTTTGTCAAGAAGAAGTGGATGACAAGACGATCAAGTTGGACAAGGCCTCATCTCACGGCCGAGCAG